TTTTTTTTTTATTTAAACAGTTTTTAATGTTTAGTGTATGTGTGCTTGCATATACCATTGTTGTTTGTATGTAGGTCAGAGGACATCAGGCTTAATGGCAAGTACCTCTACCTGCTGGGCCACCTCCCTAGCCCTGTAGAGTTTTTTGTTTGTTTGTTTTGTTTTGTTTTTTTTATACCTAAATCCTTTTCCTTTGAAGTACCATACAAATTTTCAAGTGTATGCTTAAACTTAAAACTTTGAATTAGAAAAGTGGCAAGATTGATTCAGAACTTACTTGGGCATAAGACAGATGGTAATCCTATAAAAAGATGGCATATATTTTTGGAAGTGCAAACAGGAAAATAGATACTCTTTAAAAAATTCTAGAGTAGTCTTTGCCTAGAAGCTGCAGGAAAGAGATTAAAAAACATATGGCTTAATTGAGCTTCTACTTTCTAATATCTAGGATTTGATCATGTTCCCTTAATATTAGAATCGGTTGCATATGCATTAGTAGCATTTTTCAAGTAGATACCTGCCAAGTGCTTTTCTCATCTGTGGTGCAGCTATGTGATAATGGCAAACAGGACTGTTGGAACCCCAGGTTTAGTGACGTCACTTACCATTTAAGAATCAGCTACCAAGTCTATCTGAGAGTTAGCCTCTGTGCTTGGGGACAAGACCAGGTACTTAGTGAGTTCACTCAGGGTACAGCTTAATGTTTAAAGTAGCTTGTGCTCCAAATATTTATAAGTATTCTATTTTTACAGTATTGTAGCATAAATCTTAAAAGTTCTTATTAATAAAATCAAACCTGAAGCCAATTATTGGGGTGAATGCTGGAAGATCAGAACAAGCCACAGCCACCTCACCTCACCAATTCCTCAGCTGATTCTGTTTCCTCAGACTGGAAGGAAGCCTCTGAGTCCTCATCTAGAATGAATCTCAGCTGAACTACTTCTTGAAATCCTGAAAGCTTAACCAGGCTAGTTCCTGGTTTTCACACCTTATATACCTTTCTGCTTCTTGCCATCACTTCCTGGGATTAAAGGCGTGAGTCACCGTGACTGGCTGTTTCCTGTGTGGCTTTAAACTCACAGAGATCCACATGGATCTCTGCCTCCCAAGTGATAACATTAAAGGCGTGTGCACCACCATTTTCTGGCCTCTATATCTAGTGGCTGTTTTGTTCTCTGACCCCAGATGAGTTTATTCGGGTACACAATATTTTGGGGAACCAATACCACCGCACAGTATCTTTCAAAAACAGTATATGACAGTGAGACTTAAAACTGCTGCTGCTTTTTGTGGAGATGATGTAGCTGTTCCTCTTGATAAGTTGTCTGGTCTGAGTGGTTTCATTGAGCATGATTTCATGCAGATTCTGTCTATACATCAACCAGCTGCTGTCTGTAGTTACAACAACACTTGTCAGATTCTTTTCTCCCCTCAACTCCCACCTGTGTTAGCAGTGTGTTTGAGATGAATTTGGGTTATAATTTACCATTCCTATATATGTCCCTTCTACTGGCTTAAGATGGTAACTAGCATTCATATTATTGCACTGTATTGTGTGTGTGTAGTAGTGGCCCAGTGAGTTAGAGCTGTGGTCTCCTGATAATCAGCTGCATTGCACTAAGTAGTTGGAAAGGTGTTACGTTTTTTCTTCTTCTAGACAGGCAGTGCCCCTGTGATGTCCAAGAGCTGTGGCCTTCAGGAGTATGAGGAGCCATAGAAAAGGCTGGTCTCACAGTACATGTGTGTGCTTGAAGTGAGGGTTTGTTCTTCCAGGGCGTTCACAGTGCCCTCACTGTGCTTTGCTCCTTCACCTGGTGCACGGGCAGTGCTGAGTTTGCTCCTTCAGAGCTGGTGCAGAAGATGAGCCTGGTCAGATAGAATAGTAAACACCAAACAAAAAACAAGGAGTAAATGAAGGACCTAGTATTTGCCCAATGCCCAGTATATAGCAGGCAGTTATCCTAAACTTCAGGGTGAAATTCCTAAGAATAGATTTGGACTCTTTTGTTTTGAAGCTTAAAAAAAATTGTTTTATTTGAAAACTAAAATGTTTAATTTTTTTTTTTTCTTTTTTGGAAAATAGCTCCAGAGGTTGAATGAAGCTGGGCAGAGTTCATCCATGAAGCATCACAGCCCCTCCCGATGTTTGGGGATAGCTGCTCCAGAGAGAAATTGACCCGTTTGGATTAGGTAACTAGTCACAATGAAGAAAATTAGTTTGAAAACCTTCCGGAAATCTTTCAACCTGAGTAAAAGCAAAGACGAAACCGAGTTCATGGTGGTTCAGCCCCAGTCCCTCGCTGGCGACTTCGTGAAAGATGACTCCTTATTCGGGAGCTGCTACGGCAAGGACATGGCCAGCTGCGACATTGGCAGTGAGGAGGAGAAAGGGAAGAACAGGTCCAAGAGCGAAAGCCTGATGGGCACCTTGAAGAGGCGATTGTCCGCCAAGCAGAAGGGCAAGGGCAAGGGTGGGACTGCACCCACAGACGAGGACACCTTCTCCTCAGCTTCAGCACCCGGGGGCCTCAAGGACGTGCGTGCCCCACGGACCATCCGTTCTACATCATTGCGCAGCCACCACTACAGCCCCACACCCTGGCCGCTGAGGCCCACCAGCTCGGAGGAGACATGCATCAAGATGGAGAAGCGGGTGAAGGCCCTGGTGCATGCTGCCAGCCCAGGCCCTGTCAATGGTGTGCGCAAGGAGCTGCGGGAGCTGCAGCCCAAGGAGCTGCGGGACCTGCAGCCCCGGGAGCTAAGGGACCTGCAGCCAGAGCCACGCCCAGAGTCCCGCTGCAGCCCTGGTTCGCCCGGGGACCTGCGCCTCCATCTGGAGGAACACGTGCCTGTAGTTATCGGACTCATGTCTCTGGACTACCTTCAGTACACCGTGCCTTTAGAAGACGGGATGTGCCCTCTGGAAGGGCCGCGCAACTGCTGCCTGGACACGTCCTCGCCCATGGAGGTGTCGGCCGTGCTGCCAGGGGCCAGCGCCTTCTCCGAAGACGACAGTCAGGTGGACCAGGATGTGGTTGTAGCCCCAAAGATCCTTGTGGATTCTTCGGTGAACAACTTGTTGATTGGCACCACAGGAGTCATGTTTCAGAACCCTAGAGCAGGTCATGACGATGCCCCTCCCCTCTCACCATTGCTACCTCCAATGCAGAATAACCCAATCCAAAGGAACTTCAGCAGCCTCTCAGGCCCAGACATGCACATGGCCGAAAGCGTGCGCTGTCATTTGAATTTCGATCCCAACTCTGCACCTGGGGTTTCAAGAGTTTATGACTCGGTGCAGAGCAGTGGGCCCATGGTTGTGACAAGTCTTACCGAGGAGTTGAAGAAGCTTGCAAAACAGGGATGGTATTGGGGTCCTATCACACGCTGGGAAGCAGAGGGGAAGCTGGCAAACGTGCCCGATGGTTCTTTTCTTGTTCGGGATAGTTCTGATGACCGCTACCTTTTAAGCCTGAGCTTTCGTTCCCATGGTAAAACACTTCACACTAGAATTGAGCACTCAAACGGTAGGTTCAGCTTTTACGAACAGCCAGACGTAGAAAGGCATACATCTATAGTTGACTTAATTGAGCATTCAATCAGGGACTCTGAAAACGGAGCATTTTGTTATTCACGGTCACGGTTGCCTGGATCTGCGACTTACCCGGTCAGACTGACTAACCCAGTGTCCCGGTTCATGCAGGTGCGCTCTCTGCAGTACCTGTGCCGCTTCGTCATACGTCAGTACACCAGAACAGACCTGATTCAGAAACTGCCTCTGCCAAACAAGATGAAGGATTATCTGCAGGAGAAGCACTACTGAGAGATTAGGAGCCCTGCTTCTTGCACGTGGGGTTCAGAAACAAGACTGGAGTACAGTTTACAGACGTACATCGCCATTGAAGTCTTTGCTGCCATAACTATTTTAGTTTTTATGTCTGAAAGGGTCATCAATTTGTTCAGGGGTGGGGAAGTGTCTGCAA